CATGTGCATTTATTCATTGTAAAACATGCGTTAGGTCCCTGCCCCAAAGTGCTTGCAGTCTAAACGGGAAGAACAGAGAGTGGAAGGTTAGCGAGACTGGGCAAGGGAGGGAAGCGGTACTCCTACTAATGCTGGTTTCTATTGTCTACTTCCTTTTTTTCTCAAAAATCTGAGACAGAAGTCAATCGCTAACATGAAGAATCCATATAGTGCTGCAGCTCAGTCCTGAGTTTAAAGAACCCCCCCCCTTGCATTGTGTGTATCTCAAGAAGGCGGCTGTGGGTCTGTGAATACGGATGCCAGCAAAAAGTGGCCATTTATTGGCTTAGCTGTCCGTATCAAACAACTTTGTTAGCAAGATAAATATAATTCTCAGCAATCAAAGGGATATGGCAGTCAGTCCTGGTGCCCAAGCCAAATGTTTTAGAGGCTCAAGAATGGTATCGGAGATGGTACAACAGGCTAATAACAGCCCAAATAGGTTCTTGTCGTTTTGTGTTTTCAAATCGTGTCCAATTTATGATTACTCGTGTCAATCGGCGACTTCCAAAAACGTCCCATCCTTTACAGCCCTGCTCTGCTCTTGCAAACAAAGCTGTGACTTCTTTTGTGGAGTCCATCCATCTCACGTCTGGTCTTCCTCTTTCCTGGATGCCTTTCAACGAAATGGATGCAGAAGAGCAAAGATCTGGGGTGTTGCACCCTGTAATAGGTTTTGAGCAACCCTGCACGTGGGCCCACAAATCAAGAAGAGTGTTAAGTGGATTAAACGGCATGAACGTTCTTTGCATAAAAGCGACAGTGTCGATGACTAGTGGTTGTTGAACTGAAAACAGATTACAGTGGCGCCTCGCTAGACAGTTGCCCCGCACGACAGTTTTTTCGCTAGACATTGACTTTTTGCAATCGCTATAGCGATTCGCAGAACAGTGATTCCTATGGGGGAATTTCGCTGGACAATGTTTGGTCCCTGCTTCGCAGAACACGCTAGGCTAGATGACGATTTTGACAGCTTCCTTCACGCTCGCAAAACGGGTGTTTTGGGGACCTAAGCTTCGCAAGACAGCGATTTAAACAGCTCATCGGTGGTTCGCAAAGCGGCTATGGCCAAGCCAATCTTCACTAGACAACAACGATTCTTCCCCATTGGAATGCATCAAACAGGTTTAAATGCATTCCAATGGGGAAATGCTTTTCGCTAGACAATGATTTCGCTAAACAGTGATAATGGATTGGATTATCATCGTCTAGCGAGGCACCACTGTATTTCCTGCCTATAGAGATCTATCATAGGGGCTTGCCTTAAGCTTGCAGTGGTGCGGCAATACATAGGCAGTGTGGTGTAGTGGTTAGAATAGTGGGCTAAGACTCAGGAAGGGAACGCACCTTTTTTAACTGTAAACAGCTGCCGTCATTTCTTCTTCCTTCCCACATTCTCTATCCTGTGGTAACTTTGCATCGGGATATTCCCTAGGACAGAGATCTGCCCTCTTATGCTTTTTAAAATCATTTGTGCATCTTCATAGCGCTGTATCAGTAGAAACCGATTTGAAATTTCCTTACGGAAATGCGGGATCAAAAGGAAGCAAATACAGAGAAACAGATAATCCAGGTTTATGATTGCAGTGTATAGCTAAAGTTTTGTTTGTTTTTTTAACTGATTTCAGTGTGAAAGATATCACCACAGACTTAATTTGTGTGTTTGTTTATTTATTTATTTGCTTTCTGTCCCTTTTTCTTTCAAAATTTGGGATCTAAGGGGTGGCTTCCCTCTTGCTTCTAGCCAGCAGGATGCATAAACTTTGCTCAGTCGGTTAGAATTAGTGGATAAATAATGGGAAAAGAAGAGCATTTTCTCTAGTTGTAGTTTTTAAGAATTGAGTATTACCCTAACGTGTGTAACCCAGTTGATTGCAATAGTTCTTTGTAACACCACATATTTTTGCACAATATTTTTTTTTAAAAAATCCTAATTTGGGCTGCTGTCGCGCTTGTAAACGGGAGTAACACCGCATTGCGAGGGTCTGAATCTGTAGGAGGAACCTGTCAGTGAAGTGTGTTTAAATAAATGGTGGTGGCGGCAATTAGCACAAAATACTTCGTTAAACATTGTGGTCTGCTTTTCTGAGATGCAGGAGCACTGTGTACTGGTAACTACCCTTTCCTTGCCCCTATAATTTCTCAGGATCCTTTTGTCCCTCAGCTTGTTACAAGGATGGTTCTTCCTTGCCTGCAGTCTGCAATATATTCCTTATCATTTTTCCTAAATCTTATTAAGGCCTGTGTGCTCCTCAGTGAGAATGCGAGGAGTAAACGTCACCTCCATGGGTTTTAGGTTACAGCGACTTTCATGCCTGAGGGTTGGCCATCAGGGTGGATAAAAACCAAATTGATTTAAATCACGGTGTAAATTTAAAAAAACTGATTTTTTTTTAAAAAAATTGTCAGAAACCCATGATTTAATTATTTTTTAAAATCTGTTTGATGTACATCAAACCCACCCTGTTGGCCATGCTGGCCGGACCTGAATGGGGATTGTATGCCAGAATATCTGGAGAACGGAAGGTTATTACCTGCTTTTGGTGTCTACATTCTTTATTGTTGAGGAAGGTGTGTTTTTACACACTTGCTTGCACGTCAGGTATTGTGATTA